AGCAGAATTATGCATATGCTGTCTTCTATTGCCACAAATCAGAAAGAACAAGGCTTTACATGGTTCCTTTGGAGGGTGCTGACGGGACAAAAGCCAAAGCAGTAGCAATCTGCCACACAGATACATCAGCATGGAACCCAAAGCATTTGGCTTTCCAAGTACTTAAAGTTGAGCCAGGAACCATTCCTGTCTGCCATTTCCTTCCTCAGGATCACATTGTTTGGATCCCTAAGTAAAAGCCTGAAGAGCACACTGAGACCCTTTAATTTCATCAATCAACTAAGTATAGTGCGCATTAAAACAGCTTAAAGCCATATCCAGTTTGTTCTATATAATAATATACCTCAAACCCACGGGTTTAGTTATCCACAATCTATTAGTTCACTTTTGTAATAAATGATGAATCATGAACTCAGTAATAGATAAAATGGTGTTACTTTCTGTATCACAACGGCTTGGCGGTAAATCTATTAGAGTTCTATCCCATGATGAAAACCAGTTGAGAAGGTACTAAAATCAAATAACCAAATGAAAAGACAATTCAATAACAATGATGTGAGTCATTGATATGTGAATGATGATAAATTCATGGGGAAAAAAAAGAGAGGCAACTTAGGTTCCTGGAAACAATCAACGCATCCAAAGACACATTTGCCCAAATGATTAGCCATGAAACCCTCAGGATGTCGCAAGTAATGAAGAAATAAAGATGATGGGTGGATTGGATGGCAGATTTTACACCCTCATGAATCTTGAAAGTCACTGATTAGAAGGCTAGAAAATAACCACGTTTAAAGAAGAATCATGGCTCAGATAGAAATTAAAACATAAATAGATACAGACATACATGCGCTACATATTTAACAACTACTCAAAGTTTTCTGGGACTCAAAACTAGCAAGAAAGGGCCAGAAATGTCAGCAATGGAATGTGGTCATACCTGACGGCAAAGCAGCACCATCACATAAATTTGGTTTGTTGAAGTAGCCCAAGTGAAAGAGCAACTTCAATTCATTCCACACCTAAAGGTTCTTTCAAGGTTAACAGCACATTGACATGAAAGTTACGACAGTAACAACAGCACAAAGTTTGCTGGGACTCAAAACTAGCAAGAAAGGGCCAGAATGTCAACAATGAAATGTGGTCATACCTGACGGCAAAGCAGCACCATCACATAAATTTGGTTTGTTGAAGTAGCCCAAGTGAAAAAGTACCTTCAATTCATTCCTCACCTAAAGGTCCTTTCGAGGTTAATAGCACATTGACATGAAAGTTACGACGGTGAGTAAGATAAATATGAGGTGACAATAAAAGATGTCCTCCGATGATGCATGTCAATAAACATTTAATTCAAGCTACAGAAGTAATGTAAACCATTCTGATCCACCAATTGTAAGTATCAACCAAGTAATCAAAGTTGTTATTAGAGCGACAATTCAACATAGAATCACTCATATCATAACAGGGAAATGACCGCCCTGGTGCATTAGAGTCTATTACAACTAAGTTTCCCTTAAAATTTTCTCTTCATCTTTTACCATTAGAAAATTTATGATTTCATCAGAACTAACTGACTAATGCAAACATGTCTTCCAATTTTTTCTTAATCTTTCTGACAGTTTTTTTTCTTTTTTATATCCATCGCCATTAACTATCAGAAGTTCAGCACATTTTACAATCAATTCAGCCTTCAAGATCTATAAGAGGACAAAAGGACAAAGCTAGTTAATTTAACCGTTTAATTGAATCAAAATACTGAAATGGCAACAAAAAAATTTCAAATCAAAGCATTAATCGTAAATGTATGGACTGCAATGTTTAGGTGCATAAAGAAAACAGATGTAATGAGGTGTAAAGTGTTCTAATTCCTTGTACTCAAAATTGTGTGCAGTCATTAGGTCACCACTTTGGAACTATTGCTGTGGGTTTTACAGGATGGAACTAAGTTCTTCAGCAATGGCCCATCTGACAGTGGATTAAAATATACTATTCCTACAGAAGGTAACAACTATCCTGGCTGCTATCGTGGTTGTACTAGTGAACCTAGGATCTAGTCTTTTATGTGCCATGGTTTGAGGCGTTAAGCAAACAGAAGGTTAACCCTGACTGCCCGTGCACGCATGTAGTGCAAAAGGAACACTTGGATAGATTTCTTCAGAGGCTGAAAGCTCAGACTAAGGGTTCAGGCAGCATGGAAAGTTAGATTTGTTGGGTCACAGACAGAATCCAAAAGAACCTAACCACTTTCTAAAAAACATGTAAATTAAGGTTTTGAGTTTAGGCTCGAGGCTTCTTCTAGCCTCTAGGCCTAGAAGAAAAGCCAGAGACTAATCAAAAAGAAAAGGAGAAAAATGGCTTACTAGTTCTAACCTCTACCTTCCAATCTCCATGACACAAGCGCATGGTCTCAAGCGCAAGGGCGGTGCACGGCTTTTCATTCGGTGGGGATAGTTTCATTGAACGATTTATTTTAGGGTAAATTACCAAACCCTTTTAAATTTTAACTATAATTCAATCTGAGTCCATTAATAATGCTGTTAACAGATACCTTTTTTTTTCTAAAGTGCCCATCAACATAAAAACACCTGAGCCGGAATCACCACAGGGTTTTGTTTTTTGTTTCTTTTTCTTCCTCTTCGCTCTAAAACCGCTTCTTCTTCTTGAACTCTCTCTCTAGATCCGTTTCTTCTCTTTGAAAGTCTTATCTTTTTTCTCCCCTCTCATGGCATTTCTTTTCCTTTGCTTTCCCTTCCCTGACAGGTTTAGCCGACTTCTCTTAGCCAATTTTTCTTCTGTTTGCTCATAAAATTAAATTGAAAAATTATACCTGACGCGAAGTCTAGAGCACTCCAATAGGGTTAGTATTGGAATATCCTTCCAGAAACCTCTTACAATTTCATCTGGCAGAAAATGCTTTATCTTTTATCCCACCTAGCTATTGAAATCTGCTAAGGATAGTGATGGTGTTAACCGCTGGTAACTTTTATGAGCTGGAGCTGCTAACGATAGGGAGTTGGATAGCAGTGGTTTTTGTTTGGTTGTATAGTAAATGGAACTTTGGTTGTGGCTGGATGACTCTATGATCTCTGGGATTCGGATATGCAGCTCTTTTCTTGGCACGTCATGCCATAAAGGGTTTGCCTGCACGTCTGCCACAAAGGTTAAAAAAAAAAAAAACTTATTGCAAGCTATTGAAATCTGCAACAGCTTAGCAGATTGACACCTACCCTCCCACATGCCACTCCCTAGCCATGTCCAAGACTGAAATGAACTTCTTCAATGCAATCAATTATCCACTTTTGAATTTGATTTGTAACTTCTGATTGTGAGTTAAAAGAGAAATTTTGTTTTGCTGGCTGGTTTTCTGTGAGGATGGGGATTGATGCTGGTCGCCAGTCTTTGGAATGAGTGTATAGCCAGGTTCCTTTTGTGTTTTCTGATTGGAATCGGCTAAGAAAATTGTTCATGAAAGTAGTTATTTAAGGGGAGGATTAGCATTTGGAGAAATGGAGGTTTGAAGGTTTGACAAAGCAGAGCATTCATGTGTCATAAGTGGAGATGAACAGTAAATCAAAGGTAAAATAATATTAAATTAGATTAACAATAAAGATTTATGTATCCACGGAATATAAATTTTTGAAACAGATTATTCATTTGGAATATTAATAAAAATTAAATTATGATGAGAATTTAAAAAATTTTAAATATTTTACTTTTTATTTTATAATATATAATTTCAGATAAAATACTTCTAGTAATCTCATCAGATTAGGATTTAGGACTACAGGTTGGGGTGTTGTTAGGTGCTTTAAACATTTTCTAGGCAAGCAATCCTCTTAAATTCAGCTCCCAATTTGGAGTGGCAACCCAAATCTTATATACTAGTTGAATTATCTTTCAAAGCACTTTCACATAGCTTTCACACACTATTAACATTCATGTATTTCGCATCCGGTGGCTCTTATTTCATCTGACATCTCCCAAACATTTATCATAGACACGTAGTACTTATGGGCAACTACCGAACACAATCCTGCCAATCTGCCACCCCAAAAATTTTTACTAAAGACAATGATGTAACTGGAATGAAAAACTCCAAAATGTTATAATTATTGTTCATTGTCATAATGAATACATGTAGAAAGGCCAAAACCCATGCTAAATTTGGGAATTACCTGATAAGAACACATATTCAATCCTCATAATTTTGGGTACCTGTTAGTGTAGTGAACTTCATAAAAAAATCCACAAATTAAAACAGAATCTTGTTGAGACTGCTAACTCGTCCAAATTAAAGCCATCATTGGTGACCAATGGCCCAATCAATTATGTTCGTGAATGCAAATTGAACACCCCACCGTTTCCTGTCTCACTCAACCTAAGCCCACATGACTCAAATGGCACTTAGATGAAACCAGTGGCAGTTGAGACATTATTTCAGTTGAAAAATACTGTTGGACTGTTGTTCCCAAGTACTTGGTCTAATGGTCCTAGGACACTTCTTATAAATTTGGGGCATACTTATCTCTTTTTCCATGCAACCCTAAGTTCTAGATTCTCTTTTCTCTTTGTCTTGCTCTTCTTGAGTTCTTTCTATTGCTTACACTCGGTTCTCTATGGAGTTTCATCTCTCCCCGGTTCTTGCTTTTCTAGCTGTAAGTTGTCTTTGAGGTGGATTTTGATGTGCATTACTTGTTTAAGGGTGCCAGAATTAATGAGCTTAGATTTGAACTTACTGTTGCAGCTAGCAGTGGCGGCAAGCCATGCTGCTTTATCAGCACCGTTGGAACTATGCATTGCCAAATACTCCAATGCCGAAGGCTGTCAAAGTTATGCTACATCCTGGAGAGTGCCTAATACCCAAAGATTCATTTTCCTAAATCATTTTTACTCACCAAAAGGAAGCAGCTACTGTAATAGTTTTATGCCCCCACCACCATGGTTTTATGAGAAAAAAACTCTTACCTTGAGAGGTTCAGGGAAGTGAGGACTTAGGAAGATTGCACCTTTCTTTTCTCTATAGGATTGGCTTAATACTCTAACAGAGCACACAATCATGCAATCAGGGAAGCAGGCTGGTAATCTGTGTAGCGAAAAGTTCAAATGTGAAGTGGTAAAATATATTGTGTTTTTTGCAATTTAATGCAAGAGTACGAACAAAAAAATGTTCTGTTTTGCAACTTTTTCGGGAAAAAGAATGGAATATATGTTCTGTATGTATCAACTTATCATGAAAAAACTTATGTAAACTGCTGCATTCATGAGCATGTCATAGTACAATTAAGAAATCATCTGAGCTCTCCTAGCATATGTTGGTATATTTGCAGACATCTTGGAGAAAAAAGGTACCTCTGTCAACGTAGGGGATGGCAGTGTAAACATCAATACAGGAAAGAGAAGCCTGGGGGCACGGCTGTTAATGTTGGGAAAAGGTGGAGTCAGTGTGAACACCGGGAAAGGAAAGCCAGGAGGTGGCACCCATGTGAATGTTGGAGGCAAAGGAGTTGGAGTGAACACTGGAAAGCCAGGTGGTGGCACCTCCATAAATGAGGGTGGCAAAGGTGGAGGAGCATCTGTGAACACAGGGCACAAGGGAAAGCCGGTACATGTTAATGTATCACCATTTCTTTACCATTATGAAGCCACCGAGACTCAAGTCCATGATGATCCAAATGTTGCTCTTTTCTTTCTGGATAAGGATATGCATCCCAGAGCAACAATGACCCCTGTATTTCACTGAAGATACAGAGACGGCAACTTTCTTACCTCGCCACATTGCCCAAAACATACCATTTTCATCTGACAAGTTGCCAGAAATTTTGAACAAGTTTTCAGTGAAACCTGGATCAGCGGAAGCTGAGATAATGGAGAACACAATTAAGGAGTGTGAACAGCCCCAAATTCAAGGAGAGGACAAATATTGTGCAACCTCACTAGATTCAATGATTGACTTTAGTACTCCAAGATCAGGAAAAGTGCTCAGGCAATCTCTACAGAGGTGCAAAAACAGACCCCCCAAACAGAAGAACAAAATAGCACCTGGAGTGCAGAAGATGGGAGGTGACAAATCTGTAGTGTGCCATAAGCAGAATTATGCATATGCTGTCTTCTATTGCCACAAATCAGAAAAAAACAAGGGCTTACATGGTTCCTTTGGAGGGTGCTGACGGAACAAAAGCCAAAGCAGTAGCAGTCTGCCACACGGATACATCAGCATGAAACCCAAAGCATTTGGCTTTCCAAGTCCTTAAGGTTGAGCCAGGAGCCATTCCTATCTGCCATTTCCTTCCTCAGGATCACATTGTTTGGATCCCCAAGTAAAAGCCTGAAGAGTACACTGAGACCCTTCAATTTCATCAATCAACTAAGTATAGTGTGCATTAAAACAACTTAAAGCCAAATCCAGTTTGCTCTATATAATAATATACCTCAAACCCACGGGTTTAGTTATCCACGATCTATTTGTTCACTTTTGTAATAAATGATGAATCATGTACTCAGTAATAAATAAAATGGTGTTACTCTCTGCATCACAACGGTTTGGTGGTAAATCTATTAGAGTTCTATCCCATGATGAAAACCACAAAAGAAGGTACTAAAATCAAATAACCGAATGAAAAGACAATTCAATAACAATGATATATGTCATTGATATGTGAATGATGATAAATTCATGGGGGAAAAAAAGAGGGGCCACTTAGGTTCCTGGAAACAATCAATGCATCCAAAGACACATTTGCCCAAATCATTAGCCATGAAAGACTCAGGATGTCACAAGTAATGAAGTAATAAAGATGATGGGGTGGATTGGATGGCAGATTTCACTCTCATGAATCTTGAAAGTCACTGATTAGAAGCCTAGAGAATAACCACATTTAAAGAAGAATCATGGCTCAGATAGAAATTAAAGCATAGACGCATACATACATGCATGTAAATATAACAAAAAATCAAAGTTTGCTGGGACTCAAATCTAGTAAGAAAGGGCCAGCAATGTCAGCATTGGAATGTGTTCATACCTGACGGCAAAGCAGTACCATCACATAAATTTGGTTTGTTCAAGTAGCCCAAGTGAAATAGCAACATCAATTCATTCCACACCTAAAGGTTCTTTCAAGGATAACAGCACAGTGACGTGAAAGTTAGGACAGTGACAACAACTCAAAGTTTGCTGGGACTCAGAGCTAGCAAGAAAGGGCCTGAAATGTCCACAATGGAATGTGGTCATACCTCACAGCAAAGCAGCACCATCACATAAATTTGTTTTGTTGACGTAGCCCAAGTGAAAAAGCACCTTCAATTCATTCCACACGTAAAGGTTCTTTCAGGGTTAACAGCACACTGACATGAAAGTTACGATAGTGAGTAAGATAAATATGAGGTGACAATAAAAGATGTCCACTGATGATGCATGTCAATAAACATTTAATTCAAGCAACAGAAGTAATGTAAACCATCCTGATCCACCAAGTGTAAGTATCAAATAAGTAATCAAAGTTATTATTAGAGTGACAATTCAACATAGAATCACTCATATCATAACAGGGCTGGAAAAGGCCCCGGTGCATTAGAGTCTATCACAACTAAGTTTCCTTTAAAATTTTCTCTTCACTGTTAGCATTAGAAAATTTATGATTTCATCAGAACTAACTGACTAATGCAAACATCTCTTCCAATTTTTTCTTAATCTTTCTGACAGTGTTTTTTTCTTTTTTATATTCATCACCATTAACTATCAGAACTTCGGTACACTCTAGCATTTGGCGCATTGGTTGATGCATTATCCCCCTGTCTAAAGAGTAGGGTTCAAATCCCTCTTTTCCCAATTATAAAAAAAAACTATCAGAACTTCAGCACATTTTGCAATCAATTCAATCTTCAAGATCTACAAGAAGACAAAAGAACAAAGCTAGTTAATTGAACCGTTTAATTGCATCAAAATACTGAAATGGCAACAAAAAAATTTCAAATCAAAGCATTAATCATAAACAAATGGACTGCAAATATTTAGGTGCATAACGAAAACAGATGTAATGAACATGTTCTAATTCCTTGTACGCAAAATTGTGAGCATTCATTAGGTCACCACTATTCAACTATAGCTGTGGGTTTACTGGATGGAATTAATTTTTTCAGCAATGGCCCACCTGGCAGTGGATTAAAATATACTATTCCTACAGAAGGTAACAACTAGCCTCGTTGCTATCGTGGTTGTACTAGTAACCTAGGATCTAGTCTTGTATGTGCCATGGTTTGAGGGGTTAAGCAAAGGGAAGGTTAACCCCTGACTGCACATGCACACACGTAGTCCAAGCCCAAAAAACTCAAAAGGAGCAATTGGATAGATTTCTTTCAGAGGCTGAAAGCACAGAAAAAACAATTTTCGAAACAGGAAACCAAGAAAAGCACTGAATCCAAAGAAGTAAATGTATCTTTCCACTCTTGCTAAGCTGATGACAGCCATAGAGTACCCTAAAGTGAATTGAGTGAGCAGATTCCAAGAAATTTAAAAGACATCACCCAGCAAATTGATGACACCAAATGGTGGAAAGCAAGGCTCAGACCAGTTTTCATGATTCAGAGGAGCTTTGATGCCACGTTGTTTAAGATAGCAGATAATGAGATAAACAGAGCTTGCATGCCACATTATTCAATGATTATGTAAAATACTTGGATAAATAAAACATTAGCAAAACCTGGCTTCTACATCATTAGGGCTGTGAAGGCCAGCCATCAAAGAAACAAGCTCAGCAATCCCCACTCTGCAGCAGTTCCAAGACAAAAAACAAATCACATTAAAAAAGACATGCTATTGTTCTCTGCAGATCACCTCTTATATGCTTGAACATGAAGCTTAAGACAACTTACTGATGCTACTTAATCATAAGTATAAATAAAGACAAATCTGTGGCAGGAGAAAAGTTGAAGGCTTGTAATTGCAGAATTCCATCCAAGCACACTCAACTTATCCCTTTCCGTAGATGTTTTTTCCTTAACCTGTAATAGAAGGCATTGGAAATCAGAAAATCTCCAACAAGTTCAAATATTGTGGAAGATATGACTTGCCAGCTCTTCATTACATAGATGCTCTTCATTTCCATCAATATTTGCTGTTAACTGTAATCCCAAAATTACGAACAAGGACATCTACTGATCTAAGATTTGGACACAGCTTCCTCCATTGCTTGATCAACAAGAAAAGGCTCTAAAGAGCCCCATGTCTTTCCAACATTCAGTTTGACACGCAAAGGAACTGGAAACAAAATAATAAAACAGAAGACCGTGGAAATGTGTCCTGAAAATATCAGAGAGTCATTAAATATGTGAACACCTACCCAGAAGAGAGACAGCACTTTCCATACTCGTTTGCAGCATCCATGCAGCTTCCTTTATCACAGAGGGATCAACTTCCAGTACTAATTCATCATGCACCTGGAAAATGGTAACCTGGATTTTCAGTCAACTATATTTCAAAATATAAATTTTAAGATAAAATTTGAAGAATAACCTAGCTGAAGTCACAAGCAAACACGATGAAAGTTTCAAGATTAAATTCATTCATCTGATTACTTTATCAAAACTTCAAATGGTAGGAATTGCTTCACCAAAGAAAACATAATGAGGAAACTATAAATGAAACGCAGCAATTTCTAAAAGAAACCTGCAAAAGGATTCTGCACCGGCCCTTAAGCATTTGAAACTTAGTAGAAATTGAAGAGCCAGAGTCTAGCCTACCAACCCCTTCAACAATCATAGAATACATTTTTATCATTGCTATTTTGATTATGTCAGCAGCAGATCCCTGTAGATAAGAAACTATCAGCAAAAGGAGAATATGATATACCACCTCAAACTTGCAAAACAAACGATTGTTATACCTGACAAATAGAATTCACAGCTTGCCTTTGAGCTTTTGATTTTTCTTTACTGTTTCCAAATTTTATTTTGGACAAGAAGCGCTTTCTTCCCTTAAGAGTTTCCACATATCTGGATTACAAGCACATATAGAAAAAATCATTTAGTGTAGCGCTTTGCTAAAAGTAAGTTTTGACCATGGTGCAACATTCAAATTTTAAAAGAAAAATGCAAGAAAAACCTTCTTTCATTACAGATATTTATTTGCTTATGCCTTACAGTGTTTAGATATAAAAGCCTCTAGAGAAGACATATTTAATGCCAATGACAAAAAGTCAGAAAATAATACATTAACCAGTTATAAACCAGTCAAAGCACAGATGTGAAGTTTAAAAAGCATAAGCCCTTAATATGAAGCAACAACAAACAAAAAGGAAAGAGAAGAAAAGAGGAATTTTACGAAAAAAGAAACATCTGCATTAGCGAGAAGGCAGGTTAGACAATCAATAAAAGCACACAATTCTTTACTTCTGTTCTTTGCTTTTTCTTTTTGGTTTAGCCTTCATAAATAAACAGTTGCTGCATTTTTGTATACTTAATGAGTCAAGAAAAGGAATAGAATATGAGATGATCTTGATGAGTTTGGAAGGCATCTCAGACAAAACTGATACACTATCTAGTCTTCTTAAAAATATTTGAGAAACTCCTTACCCCTTTTGACGACAAGATGAAATGGCTTCACAAAGCCAGGATGCAACACCAGGAAAAGAGCTTTTAAAGCTTTTAATTTTTTCTTTAGCTTCATCCACGGTGCAGTTTAGTTGTTCAGCAAGAGTGTCAGCACCCATTCCATAAAGAATGCCATAGATTAACCTTTTGGTTTGGTCTCGGTCATTGGAGCTGACAGAATCTTCAGCCCTCCCAGTCCATATTGCTGACATCATGGTAAAAACATCACCCTGCGGCTTGCTTAGGAGTTCAATTAACGCAGAGTCCTCAGAGAAGTGGGCCATCAACCGCAGTTCTATTTGAGAATAATCTGCTGTTAATAGTAACCAGTCATCCTGCAACAAAAATTAGGAAATACTCACCAAGGTATACCCAAACAACTTCAAAATAATGATCTTTTGATCAATGACTAGATCAAAAAAGAAAAACAAAACATAAACAAAAGAATTTCCAAATATACCTAACCACAAAGAGATTTGCGTGGATCTTTATCTCCCCTGCCCCAAACCCCAATTTCCATCATTACCTAGAATGCAAAACCAGTTAGCTACCCCACTCACAGCCTTACAAAAAAAAAAAAAGGCTGCCCTTGTTACAAAGTTCAAACCACTCTTACACCACCTATGAGTCTACAAAATTCCCACCTCCCTTGATTAAACCAACAATAAGCACGTCAACTGCCTTGATCTGTTTAGGAGCCACAATCCTACATAAATGGGAAGATTCATAGATACAGA